ACAGCCGGCTTTACTTCCCCTCCGAAGGAAAGGGTACGAAGGATTTTCTCGCCCTTAAAAATCCATGGCTTCGATCGGGTTTGAACCCGCCAACTTGGGTATAACAGTCCGATACGCTAGCCATTTACAACCCGCTAACATCGCAGCTGCATTTACAGTTAATAATATTTAAAGTGAGTGAGTAAGCGAGTTAGTATTAATTCCGGACTCTTCAACTACTGAGGTCAAGACTCCCGTAAATGAAGTTCAAGTTTTACCCCGGAAGGTGGCGGTGTTGGTCCCCTATTGGTATAAAAGATCAACAGACACCAATCATGCCAGTTTGAAGGTTTTGCCACTTCAGGTATCTCCTGCAGGAGGTCATCGCCCCGGCAGCGACAAGCTCTAGGCTCCCAAGTGGTGTGCAGACATGTGTGGTGTGTAGTGCATGCCACTGTGTGCGTGTGTGTATGTGTGCAAGAGAGGAGGAGTCAAGGTGGAGGAGAGAAAGATCGCGCTTGGTTAATGGACCGTTTGTTAGGAAACTGTTTCGGCATTCGGTTGGAAGTGATCGGAGAAACTAGGTAAAAATTGAACCAGCGTGCCGCTGGTTTGATCATTATACCCCAGTGGTTGACAACAGCTCCCCAACAAGTTATTGAATCCAACTATCAAGTTAGTGTTAAAAATATACTACCGACAGGCACAAACTCAGTAATGATTAAAATTAAATAAAGTATATAAACTCAAACGAATAGCCTTTTGTGGGTGCAAGTTGGTAAATGTATTGTCTATACGAGAAGCGATTGAATAATTTAAAAGCAAAGAAATGAACTTTCACGAAATCGGTGGGTTATAGTGCTTGCATTAATGATGGCAATTATTGTAGTACTTTGATATCCTCATAGCTTTGAACACAAAAATCAATCCGAAATTGATTCACTCTTACCATCATCTCCTCTCTCCATTTTTAGGGTTAGTTTTTAATGAATTTGGTATTTTGTGTCTGTATCAGTTTTTTTATGTCTGTGTGAAAAAATATATGTAAAACATTTCGTATCGATACTCAAGTTCTTCATAGACTTTATATAAATTTTTAAAGTACGGAAACAGTTAAAATACGAAGATAAAATGTGTGAGATCAGCAATGAATTTTCTAACTCGCTGAAACACAGTGTACCCACCTGACAAGCAATCCGATTACAGGCAGCATAGCACTCTACCAGATCTTCACATGCCTGGATGCCATTCAAATCACTCAACATGTTCCCTGACACGTCCAGCAGTTTCAGCGAAGGAAAGCAACCCGACTGCAGCGTAGCGATACTCTTCAAGTAATTCCTACTCAAGTCCAGCTTGTGCAACTGCGACCACTGCTGCGCGAGGACTGGGAACTCCAGAATCACATTGTGACGCAAGGACAGCTCCTCCAGCTGCGGCATTTCCACCACGAACCTCTTGATGTCGTCGAGGAGGTTGTCGGAGAAATCCGCCCACTTGACCTTCTTGAACTGGTCCTTGATCTTCACGTCGGTGAGGGAGAGGCCTTTGTAGCTCACCCAGTAGGGAAAGGAGCTGTTGGTGGTGAGCTTGTTCTCGGTGCCGTCGCGTTGGTTCATGCGCGTCTCCACCAGCCAACGCAGGCTGACGGGCTTGCGCAGGATCTCCCACTCGCGCACGGCGGCCCACACCGGGTGGTTGCCGCTGTCCTTGCGCGGCTGCACCAGGTCGTCCATGTGCTCGCCGTTCAGCCGCACCAGCTGCCGCAGGCTGCGCTTGGCCAGATACGCCGCGTGCGCCGGTTCCATCAGGTCGTCAATCTGCGACACATTGTGCCGTTTAAATATATAAAATTTGTTTCAAAAATTTGTTGTTTTTTTTCTACTCCAATTCAACACTCTTATTAAACACTCCAACTGCATTTACTACGATGTCCGTGTGACGCCGGCTCCTTCGCCATGGACGCGGCGTCACACGGACAGCCTAGTAAATACTGACTCCGGCCGCGGAAGCCTACGCTCTCACTCCAACTGCACTCAATTTTATGTGAGTAAGGAAAAACAATATCTTTTGTTTGGTCAAATCATGACTTTATAAAATTATGTGCAATACGTTGATTGACTCAAAGCCTCTTAGGCTTAGTTTTTAATAAATGTTCAAGGAGGGCACGATAAATAATAATAATAATCTTGTGGATATTTGTTTTTAGCGTACATTTTATGTTAATTGTTCTATGTACACATTATTATACTCAAGTGACTAGATGGGAGAAGAATATGGTTGTAGCTCTTTGAATATTCGTACTTATTTTTACCCAGTTTCATTTCAGCACAGATATGTGAACAAACACAGACGTTTACAGATGAAAAATAGTCAATAATTGGCCTACTTTCTATTGAGTGCTTCATCAGATTGTGTATATTACTGTGCCAAGACAACCCGTGGAGAGGTGACGCTAATCTTCAAATGCTTTCCCTGTTTTCAAAACTCGGAAGAAAATCAGAATGGTGAAGCCGCCTATGGGGACTGAACCAATTTTTAATCTGACAAGAAATACGAAGCGATCCTGAACTTCGATGATATCTCTATAATAAACTCAATGGTAACTTGTGTACTGCTCATTTTAAGTTGCATTGTTTTTATGCTTAATCAAAGTCACACGAGACACCTAGGAGGCTCTACTCTATGTGGCGTTGGTTGAATACTGCATGCTCGCTACAGTTCAGTGTGAAAGATTAGCTTACAATATATATTAATCATAGAAAACGTTCTGTATGAAACTCGACGCAAAATGTATTAATACATGGCTATGAAATGATACTACCATACGAGCGATGAACGAGCGAGTACAGTATCCTTAATACGAGTGTACCCATCCTTGCGTCATCGTTTCATTTCGTGCCCCAGGGCTTGGAATTTCATCCACTGGCTCACTAGTTGCATAGTTTCCAAATATAAATAAAATTTCAAAATGTTCAATAGTTTCAATAGCAACTACCTTAAGTTATTTTGAGAAACAAAACTAAAAATCTAACAGTACTTCGTATTACAACAGTTCATGTGGTAATGCATTCAGATGCTATATGTACAGTAATTCTTTATCAGATAAAACGCAGAATAACTACATATGTTGCAGTTCAATCAGTGGTTTTCTAAATTTCATATGTTTTGAAAAACCTCTTTCGGTATAACATAACGACGATACGTGTTTCTGTTTATAATAGCCGGCTAGGGGGTTCCCTCAACCAGGTATCTCCCTCCACCGGGGGCACCGCCTCAACCGGAACAAGCTCTAAGCTCGCGACCAGACTCCTGGCATGCGTGGTAGAATAGTGCATGTTGGTGTAAGTAAGCAAGGAAGAGGAAAGAAAGATCGCACATGATCCGTGGACCGTTGGTTAGGGAACTACTCTTGCATTCACCTGGTGTTGATCGGAGAAACCACGGAAAACAACTGATTACAACAGCCGTCCACTAGAATTCTCCTCCAGACAACGACTGGACTTTACCTAGCTATGTAGTTGGAAGACTTCCCAGACAGAGTAACGGCAGCGACATAAGTTGATGCCCTGAGCCACCTCTCTCCACAACCGGGACTCGAATCCTCAAGCATTGAACGATGATTTCTGCATTGCACCTTGATATGACGTTTTGCTAGTCTCCAAGTGACTTTTATATTTTGCGTGTTAATCTGTATCAGGATCAACAAACATGTACGTATGGTTTACTATGTTATGAGGTTTTCCAAGTTTATACATTTTACGGTGTACTCTCCATTCGTCAGAGA